GCTGCTTTAAATCCTTTTTGGATTAAGGTATACAAACACACAAATAAATAAAGACATAAATAACATTTGCTAAGCAAATTGCAAGTAAAATAAAACAAGATGTTGGGCTCTGGCTGTGGGAGCCAACTCCTTTTATTTTTTATTTATTTATTTATTTTTAAAATACATTTTATTGATTTTTTACAGAGAGGAAGGGAGAGGGATAGAGAGCTAGAAACATCGATGAGAGAGAAACATCGATCAGCTGCCTCCTGCACACTCCCCACTGGGGATGTGCCCGCAACCAAGGTACATGCCCTTGACCGGAATCGAACCCGGGACCCTTGAGTCCACAAGCTGATGCTCTATCCAATGAGCCAAACCGGTTAGGGCAAGGAACCAACTCCTTTTAAAAGAGAAACACTCTTTGTAAAAGAAGCAAACTTGTATTTTACATAAGAAATATACTCCAGCCCTAGCTGGTTTGGCTCAGTGGATAGAGCGTTGGCCTGTGGACTAAAAGGTCCCGGGTTCGATTCTGGTCAAGGGCACATGCCTGGGTTGTGGGCTCAATCCCCAGTAGAGGATGTGCAGGAGGCAACTGATCAATGATTCTCTCTCACCATTCATGTTTCTTTTTCTCTCTTCCTTCCTCTCTGAAATCAATAAAAATATATTTAAAAGAAATATACTCCAGCCCTAGCTGGTTTGGTTCAGTGGATAGAGCATCCACCTAAGAGACTGAAGGGTCCTGGGTTCGATTCCGGTCAAGAGCACATGTTTGGGTTGTGGGCTCGATCCCCCAGTAGGGGATGTGCAGGAGGCAGCCAATCAATGATTCTGTCATCATTGATGTTTCAATCTCTCTCTCACCCTTCCTCTCTGAAATCAATAAAACTATATTTTTTAAAAAAAGAAATATACTCCAGCACACTTAGTTATAAATAAAATTGTTTTTAAACCTTTCTACTCAAAGATAGCCTATTGTGATTTTTAAAATAAAACAATCACTCCTCTGAGAAGTCTTTACAATCAGTATATAAAATGGAAACTCTGCTTAAAGGAATATATTGGTCATGAATCCATAACAGGAGACAAGCTGTTGCAACAGAGCAAATAGCTCGAGTCTGACAATCCCAGATCCTGAGGTGGGAAATGTTCAACAGTGCATTTCCTATTGTAAGAAGCACAGAGCCACTCATGCTGAAGGACTTCCTGTCCGCCCGGAACTCCAGAAAAACGGCTGTGTGGCTTTGGCACAGGGTTCACTGGCCAGATGAAAGGCAGGATCCCTGAAGACAGTTTTATAGGAATCACAGTGGTGACTGTTTCTGATGTTGACTCTTAATGAAAACCAAGGGCTCAGAAATGCTTTCAATGGTCTTAGCGCTGACCAATAGAACTTTCTGGGCTGATGGGAATATTCTTTGTCTGCAGTGCCCAGTAAGTAACGTAGCCTTCATCCTCATGTGGGTTCTGAACACTGGGAATGTGGCCAGTACAACGGACTATAATTAAAACTAAACTCTAGTTTAATTGTATTCCATTTCAGTAAATTTAGATAGCCACATGTAGCTACTGACTGCTACACTGAACTGAGCAGGCCTAGAAACTATGGAAAGGATACTAAATCATTATCCATTGAGCCATGAAAGTAACTGAGCAAATTTTGTTGCCCTAAAATACTGATAATGCTTGGTGACAATTTAAACATTCAATACAAAAGACATTTATTTTGTACTCAGAATGGTCAACCCATTGGTGATATAGGAAGCTGATTCACAACTATGCATTCTATTTATATGTGGTGGTAAAATTAGTATCAGTGACTATTCTCTCTCTCTCTCTCTCTCTCTCTCTCTATCTCTCTCTCTCTCTCTCTCTCTCCTTGTCTCACTTCCTTTTTTCTTATCCTTCTCTTTATTTATTTTTATTAAATTTATTGGGGTGAATTTGGTTAATATGATTATATAGGTTTCAAGTGTAGACTTCTATGTTGCCCTGTGCGTCCAAATCTCTTTCTTTCTCCCTTTTCCATGTTTCTGTTAGTTGGGAAGCTATTGACCCGAAAATATGGTCATCTTCAAAAACAGCCTTTCCAATTCCCACAAAGGCACCAGAACACGTAGACATACCAAAAGGCATAACTGTGTTATGCTTTGTGGTAATGAATCAGTGTGAAGAAAAGCTGGAAGAGGGAAGAGAGGTGAGTGAGACTGACGCATGGCAACTTAATATTTCAGCTGGCAGGTCACACTGGCAGATGGGTGTGGGAGATGGCCATTTAGTCTGTGCATGAGTGAAGCTCCGATAAACAAGGAAACGGAAAGCTAATGTGATGGAGAGTCATTTAGGAGAGGCTTCAAGGAAACTATGAATGAACACCATGTGGCATTGAAAACTCCAGGACAAATCAATGGTCAACATTTCATCCGGTCCGCTTCAGAAGGAGACAGACGTGGACAACATACACAAGAGTCTCCCGAGGGAGTTAGATCTGTGTGTGATGAGACTCCACAAAAGTAGAGGCCTATGAGCATTTTTGTGACTCCAGTGCAAAGTACGTATACCTTAGAGACATTTAATTGACTCAAGTTTACTGATGTGTATTTTTTTATAAAAATAAACTAAATAACATGTAAAAATTCTCCCTTGAAAAACCAGACATTAAAGTTATTAAAAAAAAACACACCACATGACTTTGAGGAGAAAGCACCTAACTTGTTTGATATAATATTGGCTAACAGCTGGGCATACACTAAGCTAGCTGCTTACAATTAAATTATATCATATTTAATTTAAAACATCTTTCACATAATGGGTCCCCATATTCTTCTATACCATTGAGCCACTAAACATTAAAAAAAGACTATTAACTACTTTGACTGGATTACCTGGCAATGCAATCCAATCCATGAGTCATAATTGGAGCAAAAGAATCCAGGGATGTTTATCAAGGGGGTGGCTTCCCTAACAAGGGTATTTATAGCACAAGGGGGTTCAATTTCTCCTTCTGACATAAGATTTTGTTCTCAGTGACTGAGAAGCCCAACTATAGCATTGCGGTCCTAAAACTACGCATGACTAAACTTTAGAGTAGCTTTATTTGAACCACAGGCTCCCATCTCTTTTTGGTACCATTACTAGAGCACTGGGCTCCTCATTTTCCTTAATGTCTTTGCCTGTCTGTGTTTCCACCATGAACTCCTTGAAGAAAGGGCCTGTCTCTGTATTCTCAAAAGCTCGCCGTCACTGTTACATGGTCAGTACTTCACAAACAAAGGATTGGGAAATTAGATTGTTGGAATAAATAACAGAACCCATTTCCTTGTAATTGCATTTTCTAGAACAGGGATAGGAAGTCCTAAGTTTGGTAGGTCGGAGAGCACAGTGCTCCGGAACATGGGCTGTAGAGTCAGGAAGTATAGGCTCTGCCACTCGGGATGTAAGTGACCATGAGCAAACCCAAGCCCTGGCCTCTGCATCTGGAAAATGGGTATGATCATAACGCTCCCTTCAGAGGGCGTTGTAAATAACATGTGAGAAGATGTGTCTGAAGCCTGTAGCATGGTCATTGGCACAAACAGGGTACAATAGATGTTAGCTATTACAGTGCTATCGTTAAACATTTTGAAAATAAACATTTATCCCTTTTTTGTGGCATTAAAATAAAATACACTGCAATCTCACTTTCTTCTTAAATTTGATCCTTTTTCATTTCTTTATAGAAAAATACAGTAAGTGCTTTCAAAATTAACGTATGGAACTGTAATGCTGTTTGTGTGGCACACGGTATTCAAAAGGCACTATTTCCTGTCAGCTTGCTGCAGCACGGCTAAGGCAAGGATCCCAGGTGACAAAGGTAAAGGGATTGAGAAGTACAGATTGGTAGTTACAGAATAATCACAGGATGTAAAGTACAGCCTAGGGAAAATAGTCAATAATACTGTAATAACTATGTACGGAGCCAGGTGGGTGCTGGAAACATCTGGAGAATACTTTGTATAGTATATGATTGTCTAACCACCATGCTATAGATATATATATATATATATACACACACACATATATATAGATATATATATATATATATATATATATATATACACACATATATATATATACTTCTGATTAAATACTTTAAAAAACAGCATATTGAGGATAACTCCAAAATAGCTGTAAATCAGTAGCATTTGTTACATTATAAGTCTCCTAACTGCCATAAAGAATACACATTCAAGTCATTCATTCATTCATTCATTCATCCATTCAAATATTTATTGAGCCCAAATTACATCCAGGCACTGCTCTTGGTGTTTGTGACACACAGTGGGCAGGGTGGACAAAGGTCCCTGTCTTCATGGAGCCTACATTCCAACATGAAGCAAAGTTCTCCTAAAATAAAGCATCTACTTAGTCATTCCCTCTTTTTATATCAAATACCATGGTGCCTCATTCAATCATATCAGATGTTTATAGGCTAGTAGAGACCCTTATATATTTTTTATTTTTATCTGTTTTACTCACCCTGCCCTTCTGCAACAAAAACTGAATGTAATATTCTCTCAAATAGAAGGCAGACACTTACAGTTCTTAAAGCTAAGGACAAATTTACAATAGAGCAGCAGGTTATTTTTACAACTGAGCAGAGTGGAAATGATCAGAATTTCCCTTGCTAACCAGAAATATAGTAGGAATGTGACAACTTTTTTTTTTTCCAAACCAGTTTCACTTCCTTAGCAGCAGCTGAATACCCATGAAGGTCTGAAAAAAGAATTTTTTTCCTGGGAAAGAGTTTTTATCGCACATGACTTTCTTTCAGCTAAGTGTAAACACCACTAAACTTATGAAATAAGGAGCATTTTAAAGTTAATGCAAGTGGCATTTTTGAGAAAAGGGTGAACTAAAATGGTTAAAATGGATAAAGAACACGGAGAGATGTGCTGGGTTGCCTTTAGCTGGAAGGCGGAGTGAATGTGTTAAAATTCTGCCCACACCTGTCCTGCTGACAGGCCCTTTACCTGGCTGCCATGAGGTCCAGGAGATGCTGCCACCGGTCATTGACCTTTCCCAGCTTGTATTCGATCTCCGAGGCCTTGCTCTCGTGGCTGGCTCTAGCGAGTCGCTCTCCCATTTGTTGGAGCTGTATTTTGTTCTCTTGGGCAATAGCAATTTCCTCTTGATAATCCTGCGCAATAAATAGCAATCCCAGAGGTCAGAAAGCATATTCTTGATACCTGCAGCCTGGCTGTCCAGAAGCATATAATTATAGTTTCCTACTGCTTGGAAGTAGTTCTGACGTGAGGAACACTTTGAATATCCGACCATGTGCACAAACCAAATGGAACCTATTATTTGCAGTATGTATGCAGAGTCCACATCGAATTTTTATGTAGATATTTTACAAGGGAATAGGGGGTGTATTTACATAAAATGGGCATTAAAAACAAAGGTACACACATAGATACAAAAGACAAAACTTGAAGGATTTTAATGCTGGGTTATTATACCTTCTTGTAACCACCAACCTGACATTATAGTTAGAATCAGTTCTCATACAAATAGCTGCCCAAGGGGCTTACACGATGTGTGTGTGTGTGTGTGTGTGTGTGTGTGTGTGTGTGTGTTTAACACATAAATGTAAGTGTACGTGTGTGTTTGTCAATCGTTATTGATGCAGAATGTTTTAAGAGTAGTACCTTTGCCCTAGCTGATTTTGCTCAGTGGATAGAGTGTCGGCCTAGGGACTGAAAGGTCCCAGGTTCGATTCCAGTCAAGGGCACATGCCAGGTTGCAGGTTCGATCCCCATTAGGGGGTATGCAGGAGGCAGCCGATCAATGATTCTCTCATCATTGATGTTTCTATCTCTCTCTCTATCTCCCCCTTCCTCTCTGAAATCAATAAAAACATTTTTTTAAAAAGGAGTAGTACCCTCATTTTAAAGAGACATCCTCTATAATATGTCAATGTTTTATAACACATAAATCAATGGCAAATTAACTCTCAAGAATAATAACCACTAGTCTTAGGAGATTAATGGGTCTCGAACTTTCTTCCTTTCTTTACCAATTTCGGCACCAGCTCCTCTTCAGGATTGCTGTGGATGAGGAGATCAGGCTACATGTGGCCTATCTGCAGGAGACAGGCCATTCAATGCTATGACTAAAGTGATGCTGAAAGGTACCTCCCTCCCACCTCTACCTGCACTCCCCATCCAGTGACCCTCCTACTCTCTTCCAGAGTGATAAGACCCAATCTTTTGTACCCCCACCTGCCCTCCTCTTTATATTACTTCAACATGACGGGATTCAAAGACCAATACATTGGATGTACTTACTAATAGGTATAATATTTCACCATACATTTGAGATAATCTTACTGAGAAATCTTTATTTCAAATGAATTACTCTAAGTCTAATATTTATAGCAAAATAATGCTCTTAGACTGTCTTTCAGATGAAAATGTTTTTAACTGTTAATGCCAGCAGACACCAGTGTCTTGGTTACAGTCTGTTTATTAATTGCTTTTTGCTAATATTGTTAAAATGACCAAGCCTCGGTGTAATTTTCCTTTACAAAAGAGACAGCACAAGAGGCAAGCTCATAAAGACTTCTTTTTCAATTCCATAACTTATTTTATATACAAAATAGTAGTTAATATTTTAAAGATGATTCCTAACATTGTACCAAATAGTGTAACAAAATCAACTGTAAAAAATTAAAATTTTTCTAAATTTTAAATTACAACTCTTTATCATTCAAGGGCTAGTTTTTTTCCATACCCCCAAACTATGCATCTTAAATTTCATGAAGAAAATCAATGAAAATATAGATAGACTTAGCCAACATTTATTCTATAGCAAACTTCACTACAACACCTACAGTGCGTTCATCATGTCTAGTGGGACATTCTCTGATGCTCAAAAACTAGCAGAGCTATTAGCAGATGCTTACATGAAATCTATATCACCTCAGCCCACATTTGAAAGGATTATGATATCAAAAATACAAATGTTTATCCTTAGAATTTGCAATTTTAAGTGGAAACCTATGAAGTAAATTCATATTACGTGTTGCTTTGGAGTTTTTATTTTTCTTTGTATGTGTGCATGAATACAGAAAATTTTTCCTAATACCCATTTATGTTTATTTTCAGAGACCTTGGAGGTACTCTTACCAAAGGAAAGGAAGAGACACTGGGGAAGGCTAACACAAAGCTTATGAGAAGTTGGCATTATTCTGAGTGAAGGAGATGGAGTGATGAACAAAACAGACCAAGTCCCTGTTCCAGGGAAGCTAAGAGTCCCGTGGGGCTCCCACTGTAGACAGATAATGAACAAGAAAGTGGAGAAGACACTGTACACCAGATGGTGATATGTGCTAACGAGAAACATAACCTAAAAGACAGTGATTATTCAAAACTATGTGGAAATACCACTAAAATCTTCAAAGCATTTTTCACTGCTAGTAAATTTGATCAGCCCTATATAGATATAGAAATGTTCTAAATCCATGTGAATATATAAAATACTTTAATAATAATATATAACTTGAGAATAATGCTAAACCAAAATTCTCAGAAAAGTTCTCATTCCTGTGACTATAAATCCTGTTTTATAAAGAAAATGTCAGCCTAGCTGGGGTGGCTCAGTGGTTTAGTGTCAGCCTATGAACCAGGAGGTCATGGTATGATTCCTGGTCAGGGCACATGCCCGGGTTGTGGGCTCAGATCCCCAAGGGGGAGAGGGGCATGCAGGAGGCAACTGATCAATGATTATCTCTCATGTTGATGTTTCTCTCTCTCTCTTTCCCCCTCTCCCTCTGTGAAATCAATAAAAAAATTTAAAAAAGAAGAAAATTTCAGTTTAATTGATCCTAAGTTGTTGTTTTTTTTAATTCTTCTCTGTGATGTTACCTCCTACACATAGATGATGCCCACTGGGCCAGTAACTAAAAGTCCAAAATATTGAACATTATCAGCAAATACTCTATTTCATAACAAATTGAAAATATTCCCTGTAGAAAGACAAATCCTATGTGATTGCACATATATGTGGGATGTAAGGAACAAACTAAATGAACAAACAAAACAGAAACAGACTCATAGATACAGAGAACAGACTGATAGTTGCCAGATGTTAAAGGGTTTGGGGGACTGGGTGAAAAACGTAAACGGATTGAGAAATACTAACTGGTAGTTACAGAACCGTCCTAGGGGAGGTAAGGTAAAGTGTAGAAAAATATAGTCAATAATATTGTAATAACTATGGTACCGGGTGGGTACTTGAAATATCAGGGGACCACTTTACAAGTATATGGTCATCTAACCACTATACTGTACACCTAAAACTAATACAAAATAATACTGAATATAAACAGTAATTGAGAAATAAAATTTAAACTTAAAAATAAACAAATCACAAAAGAAAATATTTTTTAAAGTAAAGGAGGTCTTTCCATGCAAGTTTATTTTATATTAAAAAAAATGAAACGTTCCTGAGAGAGTGCTGCTTTGATGGAAAGTAATTGTGAGCGCGGCCAATCCTTACTATCGCAGGCCTAAGCACTAGGAAGGGTGAAAACAGATGCGGCCAGGCGTCCCATACCTTCTTGAGCTTCTCTATCATTTCTTCAATGAGGATGTCTCCATTCTGGGAAACTTTGCTCTCCATCTGAGTCAGCCATTCGCAAAGCTCCTTGTTCTTCTCACTGAAGACTGCCCATTCATTCAGTCTCTCGCTGACCTGCTGCCGCCGTAGGGAGAGCTGGATAGTTGAAAATGAGAGAAAACACAAAAGGATGGTCAGAGTGGAGCTCGTACCCAGAGGGAAAGAGCCAGCAAACTCTGGGCGGATTGATATGAACAACAGTGCATCTCCTTAGGTGCTGCTCCCTGTGGCTCAGGCCTGGAAACACGGCCCTTAAATACAAGTGGGAGACGTGAACCCTGTCCTTTCCCCCCGAGGAGACACGGGCACAGCCACGTATGACAGGTGCTGACACTCCAGCTTCACGCGACAGTAGGTTCCGTGTAGATAGAATACAGGATCGTGCACTTTCACTAAAAAAGCCTAAGTTTTCTTGGGGGCAAAAAATACGGAACAAAGAGCAGTGCATTTACCTGGGTGGATTCCGGTAGGAATGGAAAAGGCTAAGAAAACAGGTTGAAAGTTTTGGAGACAAATGTCACCGATGTTAAGCTACTCCAGACAGCGGGGAGGATAAGACTACACCCCCTCCTCCCTGCTCCCCTTTCCTCTAGAACTCGGACAGCACCATGCACAGTGTCCTGCACCCCTACGATTTTGAATTTTCTGGTGAATGTGACTTTTTCTTTTTCATTCAGAGAGTCAAGAGTGCAGCTGGTGGTTCTGGTTCAGTGATGTCCAAGCTGAAACTATATTTTCCTAATTGGAACTTCTCAATGCAACCGTTTTCCAAGAAAAAAAGTAGACACTCTTGCCCTTGAGACTTAAGAGTAATAGGTCTTGCTATGTGTAGCTTCTCCCTTCCTCTGCTCCCAAATTTTGGCCATGGACAAGAGTGAATTCTAGGGCTTTTCTCAACAACATCTGCAGGAAAGATGACTGCAGTAGAGAAAAATAGTAACTATGTCTTTGAGAGGAAGGTATTACTATCCACATTCAAGAGGTAGGAATGGAGGTTAGATGCATTTGAGGCATTTATTTATAGTCAATAGGAGGTAGAAGCAGCGAAGCCCGAGTCTGATACAGGCTGTAATATAACATTATGATCAAATATCCAGGCACAGCTGAGATTCAAAACAGTCTTCATCATTTACTAATGATATGATCAGGGCAAGGCTAATCATCTTCTCTTAAGCCTTACTTTTTTCATTTGTAAATTAATCTTAAGATTGGTTCCAAAACTCTTTCAACAAATATTTATTGTCTATGAGTATGGTGATTACCAGAGGGAAATGGGGGTGAGAGGAGGTAGAAGAGGGTATCGGGGGGAAAAATGGTGATGGAAGGAGACTGGACTTGGGGTGGTGAACACACAATACAATATATAGATGATGTGTTATAGAATTGTACACCTGGAACCTATATAATTTTATTGACCAATGTCAACCTAATAAATTCAATAAAAAGGTTTATTGTTTGCAGTAAACCAGTGTCTACTATGTACCAAGCATTGTCCTATATACTGAAATACAGTAGGCTCATAATAGAATACAAACAATAAAATAATTTAAGAAAATGACCAGTAAATACTAAAGACGTAACAAAAACTGGTCATTAATATACTACAACCACTGTATATGCCTCTAGGGCATCATTTGAGTTTTTCATTTTTTTTCTCCTTGACATTCATGCATTCTATATTTCCACCAAGCAGCTAGAATATATATCTCTAGTGTTGATCAACACTGGAAGTGTGGCTTTCATTTGCTTACGTAGAGCAAGAGCTGGGAGAGAAACAGGTAGGCTCCAACTAAGTTGCACTTTTGGTTACAAATTGGCGCCGAAAGTTTTTCAAAATATTAAATTCATAACGGGGACAGCGTTTTCCTCGTGGTTTGTAAAACGAATATTTAAGCTGCATGATAAGGGAATGCTAACATCTCTTTCTTTGGGTTCGGTGGAAACCCTCACATTTACCAGCTTAGCACTTACATTTTCTCAAGGGCATAAACATACTGCTTTTGCCAACAGCTGACGAGTCTTGGCTAAAACCCCCAGAGTGAGGCAGCTGAACAGGAAACACATCCTCCTCTGCTTCAAATATTTTTACCATGACAATTTGAAAAACAACGAGCTATTACAATGATGATATATTTATACCTCAACTAGAATTACACACAGCATCTACAAACCCAAACAGGAATAAAAGCAAGTATCACCTATGGCTGCACAGTCACAGCCAAGCATCTGGGGAGCCTATTTGAAAACAGGACACTTTTCTATCTGAACTCTCCTCTGCCCAGTCTACTTACGGCACATCTTCTGCATCCCCACCCAAGTCCTGGTTACTCCCGCCTGCTCATTGACAGCTTCCATTGGAACCAGCACAGACTCCCTGCTCTTGGCAGAGCGGTAGTGCTGTGTTTAAAACCCGTCTGTGACATAGAAAATGAGGCCTAGACACAAGCCCATTTCCTTTTGTGGTTTTATACTTGATAGAATGTCTCCGGAAACACTAAGTCAAGACCTAGTAACTAATCTATATTCCTTCTTACACTTCTCTCCTGGCGGTACCTTTGGCCCGACCATGAGTAAACTCTGACTGATTTATTTTTATTTTTTTAAATATATGTCTTTATTGATTCCAGAGAGGAAGGGAGAGGGAGAGAGAGACAGAAATATCAATGGTGAGAGAGAATCATTGATTGGCTGCCTCCTGCATGCCCCCTACTGGGGATCGAGCCTGCAACCCTGGCATGTGCTCATGACCAGAATCGAATCCTTTAGTCCACAGGCCGATGCTCTATCCACTGAGCCAAACCAGCTAGGGCTCTGGTATTTTTACACAGTACATTTCCTTAAAGCGAAAAGTGTTAGATAGTCATAATCTTCTTAACTTCCAATATTCAGAAACCTTGTCATTATTTTATATTTAGAGGAACACAAGCATAAAAACATAAAATAAATGTTCGAAAGTCTTGTCTAAATTATAAGCATATGAACACTTAGCTGTTCAGCACACTGGAAATAAAAATAAATAGTCTTTGTCCTCCAGAACTTCATAATTTTGCAATCAATTCATAAACATTAAAAAAAGAAGAAAAGCTCTGGTCAGGTTAGCTCAGTGGTCAGATTGTCAGCTTGCAGACCAAAAGGTCTCAGGTTCGATTCCCGGTCAAGGGCACATACCTTGGTTAGAGTTTCAATCCCTGGACCCAATGGTGCGAGCAGGGGGAAACTAGTGAATGTCTCTCTCTCTCTCCTGCTCCTCTCTCCCTTCCACTCTCTCTAAAGAAGGAGGAGGAGGAGGAGGAGGAGGAGGAGAAGGAGAAGACGGAGAAGAAGAAGGAGAAGGAGAAGAAGGAGAAGAGGGGAACAGTACACTGACCATGATGGCACAGACCAAAAGGGATGTGGGAGTCCAGAGGACTCTCTCTAAAGTGTCCTCTCTCTGAAAGCTTTACAGACACCAATCAGCCAGAGAAATGGATCTAGTCCAAATCATTATACATAATGTACTGAAAAGTACTGAGTCAGCAAGTAGTGCTAGATGTTTCTGAATTTCAAGAAAAACAAATAACATAAAAGTAACTAAACAGTGTTGTGATCATTTTTCATTATTTGTACCCACCAAATTAGCTTTCATTTATGTGACATACCATGATCAATCTTTACATTAAAAAATATGTAATGTATTGATTTTGGATTAAAAAATTCAGACAATAATAAAACATGTGATTGCCATTATCACACTCCAGGTAAATTTCTCACTGTCTTCACTGAAAATATGGAGCTCTGTGGAAAGTGGCTAATTAATTTTTTTAACTCAAAACATTAGCACCTTTATGAAAATCATCTCTTACGTTTCGTTTCTCCTTTCTAAAAGTATAGCATGCGTTCGTAGGAAACTTTTCACACATTTACCCAGTGTGCTCCAGAATTTTCCTCTTGCTCATGGCCTGAGAAATGTCTGGGTTTTTAATCTAAACATACAGAGGGAAATTTACCCACCAACAAATTTCTTGTTGATGTTAAATGAACCCAGAAGCTATAAGGCTCTTGAACTCTGTTTTAATGTTTTCTGAAGCATGAAGAGAAGCACTGCTAACGTCGGGGGAAGTGGGAGGAAGGCAGAGAAGAGATCTCTAGTGGAGCATAGCTGGCCTGAAAGGGGATGCCCAGCAGGCTCCTTTCTCAAGTGTCTCTTCCTCATCCTTCCACACCTGCTTCTCCCCAGGCAGGGCCCCTGCTCCACTCTTCTGCCTCTTTTCAAGCTGCTACCGTGTCCAACACATCTGCTTGCGCCCTCTACACCAAGCATGTCAAACTCACGGCTGGCGGGCCGCATGCCTCGCCTCTACTCCCCATCTCAGTTCAAGATGTATCTTCTTCAACAGGCATTTTCTTAATTCTCGCAATCCACATTGCCCTCAATTTGCTTACATCTTTATACATTGTTTTAACTGGTTTATACCCAGTTTTCCCTTCATTGTATAGATCAGTGATGGCGAACCTTTTGAGCTCGGCGTGTCAGCATTTTGAAAAACCCTAACTTAACTCTGGTGCCGTGTCACACATAGAAATTTTTTGCTATTTGCAACCATAGTAAAACAAAGATTTATATTTTTGATATTTATTTTATATACTTAAATGCCATTTAACAAAGAAAAATCAACCAAAAAAATGAGTTCGCGTGTCACCTCTGACACGCGTGTCATAGGTTCGCCATCACTGGTATAGATCCTTCTGACTGATTTTAGTCTCAGCTCAATTGTAAACTTGATACTAGCGACATCTGCGATAGCTTGTGAAATTCACAACAATTACAGTGACTGGTTGATGGGGCAAATATGCATCACAGCTTATTATGTGCCAGGTGAGACAACCAGGTACAGGAAGGAGCCTGACAGACATGGTCCCTGCTTCCTGGGGGGTGTGGTCTCAAGACTCAAGGTCAGGGCCTGTTCTTCACTTGTGGGCCTTTAATCAATGTTATTCCTTTTGCCTCGCATGTCTTCTTGTTACTGTGCCCCCAATCTTTTCCTTTCGTTTCCAAATCAAAACTCAATCTGGGGTCTCTTTCAAGGCACTGCACACATAGCAGGCAATTATAATCTGAATTATTAAAAATGACCATGATAAATCGGCAGTAACAATGTGCCATGGACAGAACCAGCCCCGCAGTATTACCTAAACCCGCACAGAAAACAATGGTTTTCGCACACGGAAAGTAAGAAGCAGACCACCAATATCTACCTAGCAAAACCACAACTGTGAACTGAAGAAGTGTGTTTCCTCTTAAAAATATTATGCCAGCCAGTGAAACAGAGAGCAAAATCCAGCTTGAATGAATGCATCTCACATGCAATGGTAAGACATGATTTGCCTTCATCTAAAATATTTTTTATTACTTTATTGGGGTGACATCGGTTCACAAAACCACATCGGTTTCAACTGTGCAACTCAACAAAACATCATCCGCACACTGCATTCTAGGCCCATGGCCCCAGTTTGTCTGAAATATATCTGTAATAACAGATTTCTTCCTCTGTGCCTACTATGAGTTATGAGACCCGTCCAAATGTGGGCCATGCTACTTGACATTTCAGATCATGGCCCCGTATTCCACCTCCCTGAGCTTGTGTGGAGTCTAGAACTCCTCTCACCTGGCGGCACAGTTCTTCCCACTGCCTCTGCAGAAGCTCCCCGCGTTCGTTCAGCATGGACACGTCATCAGCGCTGATGTAGGCACAGAGGGTGTCCTTCAGTAACGTCAACTGTGCCAAGTCATCTGTCCAGCTGCCCACTGCAGTTTCCAATTCCTAGATTAAAGACAAACACGCAAACTTGAATACTCATGGACATCCATCCTCAACAATTTCTGAAGTGTATTCGAGATCCCTTCTTGATATAATTACCTTTCCACCCCACTCTCTGTTTGAACATCTAACTTGGTATCTAGTTATTTTCTTCCACATGATTTGATAATTTCCAAGTTCTGATAAAATATCTGGTTGCCTACAGAATCTTTCCACCATCTACTCATCATTTCACTGATTGTTTTTGATCATCTTCTCTGTTGAAGTTGCATTACCTCATTGATCTTTTTTACTTTTAAACTGACTTCATAAACTCCTAGCCCATCCATTTTTCTTGTTCTGAGTTACTGATCATATTAATGAAATATATTTTTTTAAAAACTCAAACTCTTAGATTGAACTTTCATGTTCAAACATTATGAATTGCTACATTCTGTGATATAGAATTATAAGGTAAAAGTTGAGAAGGTCTAGTGATAATTTTACTCAAATTAAAATAATGGGCTGAATGCGTTTTTTGCAGGATTAGAGATTTCTTAAAGTAACTTGTCCAAATACATATCTTCTGATTTTGGGGAGAACCGATTTAAGAAAAAAATCATAAAAAAATATTTGAATAGGTTGACATTAGTTTTTGCAATGTTTGAACAGATTTTGCAATTTGCATAGCTAATGCTTTTTGCCAGCTCTTGATGATCTTAGATTCCAGCTAATTTAATATATAAATAGAATATTTCATGTGGCTTTTCCCCCTCTCTTTTTGTCTCTTTACATAGCAGACAAGTTTCCAAAGGCAAAGGCAATTAACGGCACTGTCAGAGGCTAACGTCCTAGGCAATTTAAGCAAATGAAGGTTCAGCCTGAATTTTCTAGGTAATTGTTTGTTCTGCTGCTAAGGGTGGTTTGGGGGAAGAGAAGACGGGAGCTGGACCAAAGTGCATCCTTTTAATCTCCAAACTTAATAGCAGGGCATGTTTGTAAGTGTCCTGTATTTTGGGAGATGAGATCCCATGGTAACAGTATTTGGCTGAAAGAGCAAATCATCCAGGTATATTAAATATGCAGCATTCCTGTTTATATCCATAGACATATTAAGTTGCCATGCCAATATAAAGGTTTTCCTCTTTCTACAACAGTTTTTAACTTCCAACTCAAACATCAGATTTAGTATATAGATTAAAAAGTAACAGCTGATGTGGCTCAGTGATTGAGCATCGACCTATGAACCAGGAGGTCACGGTTCAATTCCCAATCGGGGCACATGCCCAGATTACAGGCTCGATCCCCAGTGTGGGGGGCATGCAGGAGGCAGCCGATCAATGATTCTCTCATCATTGATATTTCTCCCTCTCTCTCCCTCTTTCTTCCTCTCTGAAATCAATAGAAAATTATTACAAACAAACCAACCAACCAAAAAGCTCAACCCAGTCACTCACCTTGCAGCGCATCTGCTCCGCAATGAGCTCTTCCTGGTGGTCCGGCAGAGGCAGGGAAAGCTTCTTTTTGAAAGTTCGAAGTTTCTCCAGAGACTCAGCTATTCCAGTCTCACACTTCTCCCAGTCCTAAAATGGGAGGAGAAAGACATTCCATGTATTCTTTTGTAGGAAACTGGAAGAAAAATACCCTCTGAATTCCCATACAGCAATTATTACCTGATTTTTTTTTTTACCAGACACATGTATTTCTTTTGTAATAAGAAAAGTAAAAAAGAACATACAGAAATCAGAATGGAGACTTGATTCTTTACAGCACCCTACCCACAGGTGAAATCTTATCTGCTGTCTCAGTGCCAGTGCAAATTAAATTCAACTAAACAAATCCCCTTAATTTTGTCTAATACCCCCCATTCCTGGCTTCCCCCTCTCTATCAGCCCTCCCCAGGGACCCCTCCCCACAACTTGAGTTACTGAGTTCCAAAGAAAAACAACTAGAGTTGCTTTTAATAATTCGTGTGGTGCCAAATCAGGTTGCATTTTTCTTTACATGATCTCTTCCATCATTACCCATCTTTCTTTGTCTGGGTCATTTCTATGTCCTCTCCCGGTGCCTTATTTTTAACACAGCAACCCAGAGGTGCTATTTACCAAACTGTCTTCTTTAAGAAGCATTGACTAGATTTCTCCCATACTCAAATGTCTTTTGGTTTCTAACTGACCTGAGAATTGGCTCAAGATTCTGATTTCACTTTTAAATTCCTTTAGGGAATTTCCTAGAGCAGGGGTGGACAACCTTTTTGTGAGTGCGTGTAAAAACCAGCAAAATCTCTGACTCAAAATTCTTCTGCGTGCCAACCCTAATTTTTTGAGAACATGTTACGCCTATTTGATATCTCTTAAGGTGTACGTATGTGAAGAAACTTGAAGAAATAATAAAATTCATTCGAACAACAAAAACACAGTATATGATGATGAAAAATACATTTATTTTTTAATGTATACATGTTATGTAAAATTATTTATTTATCTAAGATGCACCTACACTGAATTTATCTGAAAAATAAAAAAGTCGATATTAAGAAAAAAATTGTAAATGGAAGATTATAAGAGAGGGTTTCGCGTGCCAGCAAAAGTTACTGGCGTGCCATGTTTGGCACGCGTGCCAGGGGTTGCCAACCCCTGTCCTAGAGTGTATCACCACATTCCCTCTTCCTAGTTACCAGGAACAAATATCCCTGTGTTCCTAGGCCACAGTGAGTTCATCAATGCTAAGCAAAGTGAGTAGACAGAAATATCCTTTCTACTTGAATTGAACAGCATTCTCAATTAAATCATCACCCATTTTGAAACCTATCAATCCACAGTCAATAAACATTCATTGATCCAAAAGGGAAAAGATCAAGTCCTTATTTATCATGACAAAATTAAGAGTGATGGTAAAGTAGGTGACCAAGCAGAACATAGAATTATAATGATTACATTTTTGGCACATTTTCTCAGAGTATTAAATTAGGAGATAAAAATAGATAAGCATTTTGTTATAGCTGTGGGGGAAGATACAGTAACATGAGGCTGTCCAACCATTAAAATTTAGCTTCATAAACTCCTTAGGCAAATAGGACATTGTGTATGATTCAAGATAAAATAAACTTTAACAAGGAAAGAATGGGGATTTCCCTTTCCAAGGGTGGCTTAGATTCTGAAGCTATAGCCAAGTCTCTTTACTACATGAATTATAAGGAAATAGCGAAATGTCACGGTCTGCAAACATCTATCAAAATGGATGTTTCACACGCCAACAAACAGACTGACAAGAAAAGCAAATGCAGTGAGTCAACCATCTCGCCTTATTAAGTCCTAGGAATGTGTCCAATAATCCCAGCACAGATAAAGAAAAACATATGATTAACATGTTCTCTACAGAATGAGTTACAATGTTTTTAATCCTTTCCTGAAAGCAAAACTGAAGAAAAGGGAATCAGGCATATTGTGTTACTGATGAATTGTGCTGTGTGCAAATAATTGTTCTTTAACAGATGTTCAATGGCATTTTTGATTGTTTCCCACACCCAGGTAATATATCATTAAATAATATTTAATAGGATACACCCAATGGGTGTGCACACTTTAAGTATTAAAAAAAAAAAACACAACAACCCACAAAATGTATTCCATTCACTTGAGTTATTACCTTTGATCCAAAAAGTTACAGGCCAATTTTAATAGACAATCACATTAAAGTGTTGGTATCAACATATTTAAAACTTTAGTATTTAGCTGTGTTCACTTTTTAAAAAATGATGTTATTAACAACGACAATTAGCATCATTTATTGAGGGCTCAATATGTGCCACCATGATTTACCTTCAACATTTCACTAAATCCTCGTAATGCAGTATGAAGGTGTCATCATACCCCCTCTACAGATGAGGAAATTGAGGTTGAGGGAGGTTGAGTCAACCAGGTTACTTGGTATATTATAGTTTTAACTTGGGTTTGTCTAAGGCCAGAGACCATGCTCTTTTTCAATTGCTGATTTAATTATGTATTTAGAAATGGCTTTGAAAAGTGAGGGAGAAAAGCAAATTGTGGGGAATCTGGATAAACTTACATTTCCCTAAACTTGCTGCCTTATCAGTGTGCAAGCAGAATCCAACCAAAGGCTTAATACAGCTCCTGGAGGTTTTATCTCATAGCCACACCCTTGGGTAAGCTAAGATCAAATCAAGAGCACCTTGCTGGATAGTTCTTTCCCTGCTATAAAATGAGAGATATCAATCTTGAAAACCACTGTGAAGTCTTAGACTAGGGAGTGGGATCTACTCTTTGCATTCCTGTCTGGGTTTATACAGTCATCACATTGCTCCTGGCTTAGCACCGGCCATCAATCAGAATTCACCGCTTGCATGGTCTTGTTGGACTTGAAACGACTTTGTTGGGGGATTTTCCTGAGAGACAAACTGCTGGAAATGGAGAGACTTCTCCGGTTTATGCAAGACAGGACGGAGTCGTAAATAAGACACAGGAGGTCAGAACACCGCAGGTTGACAAGGACCTTTGCGCTATCTGAGTTGCAGGACACCAATGGGAGGAGCTTGCAGCTCTGCTACATCTACTGGAGGGAGGGGCAGGACCTACTTTCAACAAGAAGGCCAGCTTTTTCTTCTGCTCCTCCAGACGCACGCTGGCGGCTTTCCACTTCTCCTGGATTTCCGTGAGCTCGGCCTGCAAGGCGGCCTGGGCCCCGCTGTCGGCAGAGAGCAGCAGCTGCTTGCCCGCCTCCACGGTCAGGATGTAGCTGCCTTGTTGTCGCAGGAACACTTTCTCTTTGAACTGAAAGGAAGCAGAGCTGTTTACTTTCTCGCTCTTTCCGTCATCATTTCCCTATTACCAGTATTTTTTAATGACCCTGGATGTTTGCAGAAATAGCATGCCCTCTTTTATCCTGTAAGCATTTACTGAGCAAATACTTTGTGCATGAATGGAACTACATGTAAATAAATGAGAAGTCAATAGGGAGAGGCCTAGTGTCTGCTCCCGGTTTAATGAAATCATGAGACGATATGAAAACTGCTCTATAAAATTTATGCACAGGGAGCACACTGTCATATGTGTGTGTGTGTATGTGCTTTTAAAAAATTTTATTATGATCTTTATATTTCTCCCACAGAAAACATTTTTAATTCGTATTTAATATAAACTAATTCAAAGAAAGATCAGTGATCACATATCTAACCCACTTGGGGTACACAGGGGGCTCCCTCAAAATAGTAATGCCTTTGTGAGTCTTGAAAGACATATAAACACAACCAGGTTAAGGACCTGGTGTCCAGAGCCCCTCTGAGAAACTGAGGCTGGGGAAGTGTGCGGAGTGGACAGGCAGGAGAGGTTCAGCTGGCCAGCTCTGCCCTTACCTGCACGTCGTCGAAGAGGGTCCGCGCTTGCTGCAGTGGGATGGGGACGCTCCCGAGACCGCTCACGGGCAGGTAGGACACGTCGACCAACCACTTGCGGAGCTTCTCCGCCATCTCCCGGTAGCGCTGCCACTGGCGGATCTGGCTGTCGATGATGCCTCTCCTTTGCTGGGCCCTGCGGATCACTCCCTGCCACTGATGACTGAGGAGGGTCAGTTTCAGGTTGAACTCATCCCTGGGGAACAAACAATTCCACGGGGGAAAACACTGTAATCCTGAATGTAGTGACATTGTCAGCCAACGTCCACATACTCGATGGCTGTAAGCCCTGAAAAGCGATCAAGGGCAGAGGTTTTCAAATATCATGCCATGATCTGCTATCAGGTCTACTGCCAGCACATTTGAAAATGAACAAGCCGGGCTGGCGTGGCTCAGTGGTTGAGCATCGACCTATGAACCAGGAGGTCATGGTTAGATGCCCAGGCAGGGCACATGCCAGGTTGGGGGCTCAATCCCCAGTAGGGGGCGAGCAGGAGGCAGCCCATCAATGATTCTCTCTCATCATTGATGTTTCTATTGCTTTCTCCCTCTCCTTCCTCTCTGATATCAATAAAAATCATTTAAAAAAATATATAAAAATGAATAACAATTCAAATAGCGGGGTTTGAAAACAGTGAGTGTTCTCATGTTTCAGCACAGGCTGACGGCATATGGATAAGGTCAATGTCGAGTGCATGAGATTGGAGGGGGCATAGGGCAGCAGTTGCAATGGGAATGGCCCCCCAAACCCTCACCCTAAGTGCACCTATAGAAATGT